AGTTCAAGAAACCATGGACCACATCCTAGGATTTAACCGCCTGGAGGTATCTTGCCTCTGTGAGTACATCAGCTTTATTCCCTCCTGTGGGTATTTGGAGCGCTAACAAATGAGGAAATCAGAATTGTCTACAAATCCTGAATCCTGATACAAGAACTAGAACCACACCAAAAGTGACCGGTCTGTGCCACCCCAGACATCGCAGGCAGCCAGTGGAACTATGAGTTTGTAGGGCCAGAGACCGAGGCACTCAGCCCTTAAAGGATGCATGTGTGTAACTGAGGCTGCTTGTTTACAATGCAGACACCCTGACCTGTCACAGTCAGAGACACCTGGAAAGTCTGCATCCCCCAGTCACGGTCAGGTACTGCTGGCAGCAGACACAGCACTTGACTCACACCTGGAAGCGCAGCAGGTCATCTATCCATGACAGCTTCTATTATACCAATAAAGCCATTTGCCAAAACCACATGTGAATGTGACAGCGAGTGGCAGAAGCTCAGTGCCACAGGTGCTGCTCCTGCAGGCAGCACAGCAGAGCTGCAGCCACAGCTGGTGCAGAAACCCAAGGCCACCTCCCAGTAGGCTGATTTCCATCTGAGCACTGGACAGTCTCCTGGCACCACAAAGAAAAGCACCATCAGCCCTGGATTAAACTGGATACATTTTTATTCCCTCTAAGTGCAACATCCCCTGATTTGCTCACTGCCCCTCTAAATGGAGGCAGAGAGAACAATCCTTCTCACCAACAGAGCAGAGAAGCAGGGTGGGAGTCACAAGAGGAAAGCAAATCCACACACACTGCTCTGCTTTGCGTTTGGTGAAGACAATACAAGCACAAGACACTGATAATGACTCTGTTGTGACAACAGCTGACTACCAGAACTCAAGGTTTCAAGCAGCTAGTCCATGCTGGAAAAAAGAAATGGCCATAATTGGATTAATTGGTCCCAAGCCAGAAATTATCATTCAGATGTCATTTAAAGATAGCTTTGGAGCTCACTTGCACATACCAATCATCCCTTTCAAGACCTAACAAGTCCAATGACGAAGGCAAAATCACAGCTTTCCTCAGCACACAGTGGAATCGCCCTGGGACTGGGCTCTGCAGTGCATCAAGTTAACTCACGCTGTTGACAATAGCGTTCCCTACTGAAGTGCCAGTTTGAATCCCAGCCACTCTGCCTCCAATCCAGCTCCTTGCTAAGGTGCCTGGGAAATTAGTGAGGGACAGCCCAAACACCTGGGCCCCAGTGGGGAGTCAAAGAGCAGTCCTGGCTGCTGTGGCCATCTGAGAAGTGAGCAAGCACAAGATCTGGCTCTTGTCATCCTGCCTTTCAAATCCTTTGACGTAAAAAATGTGTCTTTATTGAAGAGGTCTACATTTCACCCTCAGCAATTTCAATTCAATTGGTCTTGATATTAAAAAATCCTAAACACTTAAGATTTTTTTTTTTAAATCTCCCTCAGTTCAGGCAAAGGTGAGATCCACACTACAGCAGGACTCTGGCTTGGCCAGTTCTACCCCAAAGATGAGTAACTCGGGCTAACCCGGTATACAGAGGACTCACAGCAGCTTGATGCTGGGGTCTACCCTGAGTATGAAATTAATGATCCAATGGATGGCTGACTATCTGGAGGAAACACTATCCATCAACTAGAAACCGTGTCAAATTCAGGTGACGATGTTCACTGAGGCCAGTCCCAAATCCATGATCTTCATGCTGGATTCATTTCTATCCTCCACTTTCCCCTTCCAGCGGAATACAAGTCCTTACATGGGAGGACTGGCAGGAGTCCTGGTTACTACGGTAGCAAGTCAAACACCGCCACTTGCAAGACGGATAAGGAGAGCAGTGAACAAGACAGGTAATTCAGTCTGGGTAACACACTGAGTGGCTCTGCCACGAAAGCAAGTCCTCTTGGGCTCCCTAGCTGGGTCTCTCCTGGGCATGAAGCACCAAGAAAACCCTCACCAAACAGATGATGGTGGCAAGCAGAGGATGGGGCAATGATCCACAGAAAAAGGTCTACTGAAAAGTGAGCTAAATTAATCAACAACCCAGTCTCAGGTGTTTTGTTAAGAGCAACACAAAACAATAAGGCAACACCCATGAGAACTGTTAGACCTGATTCTGAGACTTACAAGGGCGCATGCATCTACAAATTAAGAGAAAGAAAAGGTAACACCTCAGAAGTAGAACTCAGGAGTGTGTCAGATAGAAATTAAAATGACAACTTTCTGATCATGGAATAAATATTCTTACAAAGGAGGTGATGGTAATTTATTCTGAGTGGTAGCTATGTGGCTGTTCCCTTCCCCATTCTCATCACTCATGGGACACACATCTGTCCATCTGCCTACCTACAGTTGGTTGTAACCCGAAAAAAAACAGTCACTTGTGGACATTCACATTTGTCTACATTTTCTGAGTTACCTATATACATGTTCCCAGGTGACCTTGAATAAGGCTGCATTTTGCCCTTTTGTTTCAAAATTGGAGTGGATCCGAGGGCCAACATTATGGTGTAAATAAAACTGCCAGATGAGACACAGAAATCGACATGAGTGTCAGCTCATGTCCTAGCTGCTCTGTTTCCAATTCAACTCCCTGCTAATGTGCCTGGGAAGAAAGACGGCTCAATTGCTTGAACCCCTGCCATGTGGGAGACCCAGAAGAGGATCCTGGCTCCTGCTTCCAGCCTTGCCCAAGCCCTGTTTGCTGTGGCTACTGGAGGGGTATATCAGAAATGTAGACTCTCTCTCTGTATCTGTGCCTTTCAATTAAAGAAAAATATGGAAAAAAAAAAGAAAACTCAGCGGGGTGGGGGAGGGTGCTTTGATTATCAGCTAAAATACTCATGCCCTTTTTTAGAACTCCAGGGCTGGGTGCCCAGCTCCACCTCTTCCATCCAAGTACTAACCAGGCCCGACCCTGCTTAGCTTCCGAGATCAGACGAGATTGGGCGCATTCAGGGTGGTATGGCCGTAGACCAGCTCCACCTCTGGATTTCAGCTTCCTGCCAATGCAGGCCCTGGGAGACAGCAGTGATGGTTCAACTAACTGATGCCTGTCATATGTGGGAAAACCTGGACTGAATTCCTGGTTCCTGGTTTAGGACTCAGCCTGGACTGTTGGGTACTGAACCTGCAGCTGGAGACGTATGAACAAAACGGCAGCAGGAATGGATTCGGATCTACTGAAGAAATCCCCGAGTTCATACTGACAAAGTAACAGAAAAATTGAAGTTTTTCAATTCAGTATGAACAGAAGGGGGAAAAAAAACCCCTATATTGTACCATCAAATTAATAATTTAGGCAAAACTTATCAGTGGATGCTAACACTAGGGTTCAAGTTTTTAAATAGGTTATGTACAGTTCTTACATCCCCATGAACTACTTGGGAAGAAATACTGCCTTAAACTAGTATCACACTTGATGCCAACAGTAATGGGACAACATGGCATTACACACTGTCCCCTTCACATGACATTACCACTTCCCATGTGTTCCTGCCCAACTGCAGTCTGAATCTAATCCTAAGCATTGAGGAGGGATGTTCATAAAATGTCCTGTACACTCCAAAAAATGCCAGTGACTATGAAAGACAAGGGTCATGCATTGTTTCAGACTAAAGGAGAAAAAAACTACACCCAGTGTGAAGGACTGGCTTCTCCGGGCAAACCAACAAAACAGGACAAGAACCAGCAGTATCTGTCCAAAGCTTGGGTTACTGTTACTTCCCACATTTGTCATTATGAATGAATGTCATTCTTAGAATCAGACAGGAAATGGCCAGCGTGGATCCAAACATGCCTCACTAGATGGGACACAAAGATTAGTTACGCCTCACTGGGGTATTGGGGATTTCTCTGCACACCCATCCTAAAAAAATGTTCTGTACCTAAACTGATAACTGTATGGAATCTGGTTGAATATAAACCAAAATTGAAATGTCTATGAAGAAGTCACAGGATGTAGTTAAGAGCCCACATTTTCCTATTAACATACTATTAATCAATACCATGTCAATTAATGCCATAAAGTTGTAAATGGTTGTTGATGTTATGTTCGGGCTTTTAATTGATTGGAATGATAATTTGTTGGCTTTACCTTCAGACCAGAAATGGTCTCACCAAGAAATCGTTGAACTCACTAGGATAATAAGACGCTGGACTTTATGCTTGGTAAATACTTCTAATGAAAGAACCTCAACTGAATTTGAACTGCGGTAACGCAGCAAGGTGGAGAAATCCACCATGGGGAGAGGGTTTGGGGAGGGGTAGGGGGAATCCCAGTGCCCATAACACTGTGTCACATAATGCAATGTAATTAATAAAAAAAAAAAAAAGAAAATGCATATTATGAAACACTAAAAAAAGATGAATGAATGTCATTAAATGTAAAAATATACCCAGGATTGGAGAGTGGGGAGTGGGCATGATGTCTGCCAACAATTTTCCTCAAAGGACTCAGAAAAATACTGAGGATTCAGGGGTTTCAAAGTGCAGGGACCATATGCTCACTATTGGTGAATGTGGATGGAGATTATTTTACAATTTTCCTATAATATAATTATTTCATGGAGCTGGCACAATGGCTCAATTGGCTAATCCTCCACCTTCAAATGCCAGCATCCCATGTGGATATTTCTTGTTTATGGCTCGGGAAAGCAGAGGAGGATGGCTCAAAGTCGTGGGTCCTGTACCTGCGCGGGAGATGTGAAGAATCTCCTGGCATCAGCTCAGCTCAGCTCAGTTCTGGCCACTGCAGACATTTAGGGAGTCAATCAGTGCATGGAAAATCTTTCCATGTCTCTTCTGTAAATTTGACTTTCTGATGGAAGTAAGTTTTTTTTTTTTAAAGAAATTATTTCAAACATGAAAGTGAAAAGCTAATCCCATCTTCAAGAAGCAGGGGGACAACCTCTTCAATTCTCCCCGAGAACTGTGAATCTGGAGGTGAGGCAGGTGTTCACACTGAAAATACTCAGTCACAGAAATGTAAATTCCTCATTTTATTCAAAGTTGGTACAGAAGTGCTAACATTTCCATAAAATAATTATTACTGTACTTCAGTTACAGGACAAAATACCACAGAAAGGAATGTACTTTGCAAGAAATGGAGTTCATTTTAAGTTTCCAAATACTTCTGAAGGCTAACGCAGCAGCCAGCAGAGTAACACAATACACACACAACAGTGTATTTTACAGAGTCAGTGACGAAAACTGACAGCTCTTTAGCAGATTTTTTTTTTCCCATTTTTAAACAATAACACTTTTAAAACACATTAAACCATGATCATACATGTTTACAATTATAAAAACTGGATTGTATACAGTAGGTTAGAATAGTCAAAGTTGTCATGAATGATTAACAACCTAAATCTACTATTTCAATTGTATTTCTTCCCACATAGAAGTAACTAGTTTACATCAAATTCTACTTTCTGTTTGCAACCAAAACCCTGTATAATGTGATGGTCCCAATTAGTCAAACCTTGAAAATTCTAAAAGCTCTGGACAATGGAAGGTAAACTGCAAATCTGTTTACAACTTTAAAAAAGAACTTGGTCAAGAAGCTGATGCTCACCAACTTTACTGATAATCACATTTCATCTACAATGCCTAACAGACTAAAGTAACACACACGTACAACATCCAGTCCGGGGTACTGACTGGTCTTTTCCAGACAGTCTGATCAGAGCATCAGAAGCAGGACACTGGGCGAAAACAGTTTCAACGCAGACATCTTTTTTAAACACATAGTACTTACGTATCAAAATGACTAGACAAAAACAGCAGTTTTCTGCTGACATTTGGCTTAAAAATAAAGGATGAATGAAGCAAGTTCACAGGATATTAGGAAAGGAATGTTTTCTTCTTGAAGAAGACTACTAACTTTTGCACAGCAACTATTTTTGATATCCATCTTATCAAAAAAGAAAAAAAAAACTGAGAAGCATAACACAGTTCACCTGCGATTGCCAACATAGGTCTGGACACCGAAGACGAGACAGCCCAGCAAAGAATGGGCAAATCCCTGGGCTACTTCTCAACTCTCTGGCAATCTACAAACGGAAGCCACCATGGTGGGGCTTGTAGGGTCACAGATGCCACACCACTGTTTGACACTAATGCAGTATGCCATTATCAAAAACATCTCAGTAACCCCACAGTAAATTCCATTATCTGTCTGCCACTCAAAAGTTAAGAGATCACACTGTGAAATTAGAATAATTCTAATTACACATATTTACACCGCGAGGACTATTTTCCACCTAAACTAATTAAAGCAGTTTTCCATGGAATTATAAATGGAAGGAATCTCTGCAAAGAAATATTCAAAAGCATTCTTAAAGTCTCACAAGCTATTTTAAATTTAAACATATTTAAAGGTATAGAATACATAATCTATAGAGTTAACAGGTGTTCATTGCTTTACATTATCACACTTGGCTAAGCCAATGGATGTTCCTCATACTTCTCTGTCCTGTGTCTCTGGCTCTTCTTCTGAGGTTTACATTTTAAAATAACACCTGACTAGAATTCTGTTGGAGGGAAGACTCTATAAAACCCATTTGATTACAACCAGCTACAATGTTCCTTCCAGGCAGCATATCAGAGCTCACTAAATCTTTCCCTAAACGGATCACAAAACAGGAGTGCAGCGACAAAGGTCACTTCTGTCTTACTCTGGGAGTCGTATCTTTTGACACATGGTGAAAATCAAGACAAAGATACTTATTTGTTCTTGAAAAACATGGATAATCCACAGGCCAAGGAAATGAAGAGTAGCAAAAGGCAATGCACTTCACGCACAGATTCCACCTAATATGGATTTATAAGGGATCACAGGATCAGTGCACGACTCCTTCACACTCAGCATTCATGTGGCCAATTTTCTCAGGATTAGTTTGACACTCCGAACACTTGGGTTAATCTTCTATTAAGTGAAGCACACACATACCAAAAAAATGTCATTGCTTACACACAAGCCCAAACAAAAATTGTATTATTTGCTCTGCCAAATTGTGAGTTTCTCCATGCTTTTCAGAGCATTATTTTCAAGAGGTAAAAATCTCCTAAGGACCTAAGACGAACAAAACAACTCCAAAACAACTCAGCTTCATAACAGTCACCACAAACCCAGAAGTATGTCCACGACTCAACCCCAGGTTACAGGGGACAGCCTAGATAGCATTCAGCTAGCCAACCCTCCAATGTAACAAAGCACCCCCAACTTCCGCACTATCCCCCTCCACCAAGGTGGGACAGCCTTACTCAGTGACTACCTGGAATCCTCTAGTATTCCCACACTGAGCTCTCTTAATGTCCAGACTTTCAGAGACAAAACAGCTGGTTGGCTTGATGACTGGCATGTGTGGGCTCCTTAGAGCATCTGGAGCGCTGTGCTTTCTACACATGGAGATACAAGTGAGTGTGGACATCATTTTGTGCTTTCCATGGACTCTGACGTCAACTTCTTCTCACAGAAAATGAGTCGTTGTCAGCTACCTGTTCTCAGATCTACCTGCTGTAACCACAATGGGAAAGACAAATACATTCAGGATAAGTAACTTTAACTTTTACATTATGGATACAGTTGAAGCAAACAAAAATAATTTAAGCTGCAATACAAATAGAGCTACTTAGTTTCCTTGAACCTAAATAAAGGCTATATATAAAGTAGGTAAATATAATGTATATTTTCAACTTCCTTCATTAATTATGATGACATTTTAGATGAACAAATAAGAACTGTCTATTAAGGAAAAGTGCAAGCTAACAGAGTCAGTACTGGCAACCAGAAGGCACTAATCCAAAGCTGGTTCCATCATGAAGTATCACATGTATTGGCACCTTTGCCAATTCAGGGTTTCAGTAACAACGAGTCTCATTTCAATTTCCAATACATGCAACAAAAATGACAGTACTCAACACTCCGCATACAGAAGTCTTGGCTACACCGATAAACGTAAAAATTACCTAGTTTGCACAAAAACAGTGAGGGGGACAAAAAGAAAGCAAACACTCCTTTATCCAGCAGCACCAGGGAACAGTGCCAGTAGAGTGAGCCTCTGGCCCAGTCATGGATGATCTCCTGACACCTTGCACTGCTCCTGAAATCACTGTAGTATGTATTGCCTTTACAGAGTTCACGGACTGTAAATCATCCTGAAGTTAATGGGACAGGCTTTCCTATCACACCAGGATTACAGCACAGCTTTGTCCTGCTCCATCACTTAGGAGAGCAAAACCACTGGCAGGAGCCAAGATCTCATACTGCTGTGCCTTGTCTTGGCTTGCTCTTCAGATGACTTCTGTCTAGCAACCAACGCTTCATACATGCCCACGACTCCAGGCGCTACAAGGCTACCACAAAACACCCTCACATGATATGGTATTTCTCTAAGAAGCAAAGTGCAAGAGATCAGTAAGGACCAGACACACCAAGCCTTTTCCTTTACTCATGAGTAAAGATAGTTCTGGCTGATGGCTACCGCATAAATGGAGGAAGGGAAAAGTAACCAAAGAAGAAAGCCTTTAATCCCACCTTTTATAAAGGAGTTAAAATGGAAACAAACACATGTTACATCAGTTTTTCACAACATCCCTTTAAAGTGAAACTACTGGTTGAAAGCCTTCCTCCCAGCACTAGAGAGAAGTAAAAATATTTCTATGACCAAGTGAGTAACAGTGTGGAAATCAGGGTGGTAAAGCCTGCTCATTACCTTGAACCTTAGCTAAATTCTCCTCTAACTGTCAAAGTAGTTTGCAGTTTCTCCAGGCAGGGAAGTGTGACAAAGATACACCAAATTCAAATTCAGAAAAGTGACCTTAATGATGAAAAGAGTTTGTAGCATTGGGCTAGCCAAACAAGTCTAGTACTCAGAAGCTAACTTACTGGGCAAAAACATACCCTAACAACAGGCCTGAAACAACTAAGCAGACAAAAAAAAAAAAAAAAAAAAAAAAAAAAAAAAAATTAAATTAAGAATTTAAATACTGAAAGAATAGGGAAAGAACTGAGAAGCAATATGTGAAGAAAACATGTGAAATCAGTATCTAAACAGTAAGTGGACACAGAAATATATGCCATCTGTAAAGACTGGGCTAGGCTGTAACAAATACCTGCCCACTGAGAAATCTTACAGACACTGAAACCTAGAAACATATTTATCTACTAAATTATCACTATCAAGTATCCTACTGTTACTGAATTCGTACTTTACAATATTTAACATCAAACCAGAGTTTAACAGGACAGATCTTATTCACAAACACCCTAATTTCTATGGAGAGGGCTTTCATCCACGAATAGCCAAGATTAGAAACTAATGGCCATGACTGGGTCTGCAGGTATGGAGAAGGCATTTGTCTTTCACCAACTCGTTCACCTACCACCTAGGTATTACCAACCGTACTTAACTATTCTGATTTCTTAAACTGGAACTGGCAAGCCTCTGGAGTCACATAACCTTTTTGGCTACACAATGTTCTCTCAATGCAGACCTAAGGATCATGGGATATAATCGTGACAACGTGTCAATACTACCTGCCATATGGTCCCTTTCTAGTCATTACAAGGCAGATGAAGACACAAGGAGTGCTGCCAAGTGGGAATGTTGAAGGACCCAACCTTGTAAACAGCTGATAATACAGTTTAATTAGCAGGTAAGAATGAAAATGGCACAGTAACATTATTCAAAAGTCAGAGCTCTGAGAACAGCCACATACCCATTGGGAGAGAAAAAAGCCACAGACTACAAATGGGAGGAACTAAAAAAAAAACTTCAAAAAGGTTTGCAAGAAGACACTGCTAAGACCCAGACTACAGAACTAACTCACAACCCTCCCAAGACAATGCTCCCAAAATAGAATGAAGGGTCTCTTGTTAATTTCTTAGGGTGCCATCACTCAGTACCTGTATGCTCCTGGCCAGTCTCAGTGCAAAAAGACAATGGATCCTTTGAGCCAATGAGAAGGAAGCCCCTGGAGATCAGATCTGTTGAATTTAGGCCAAAGAACACAGCACCCCTGCCATTGCTGAACTACAGACTGAAGCAGCAACCTCCCGAGGAATGCAGACCTGGGGAAGAGACCAGCTCAGCCTCCTGGGCACCAGGACAGCATCTTCCTAGAGAGGCTCAGGGAAGCCAAAGGTCCCACAGCAAAGTCAAGTCATTCTGCTCACCAGTGCAGCAAGCCCTTCTTACAAGATCTGCAAAGTAAGATCGCCTGAGAAGACGGAAGTCCAAGAACCGGGACCACCACCAACAACCGGTAAGATAGTATTTTCCCCTACCTAGGAAGCCCAATATGCTCATCTAATTCTGACTTTCAGCTCCTATTTAACTCCGTATCACTCCTGGTCAATTCTGAACCTCGGTTTTAACTTTACTATGAAGATATGCATGTTCTTCAGATCACTGTCATCATTTGGGACTCATCTAGTCAATGTAGAGTATAAACAACTTGCTAGCTGAGACAGTCCGTGCACCAGCCTGGGAACAACCATTCTAATGAAGACTAGTCCTCTGAAAAGTTGCATTCAGCAATTCACATACTTACTCAAGCACATTATCTATTACTGGGAAGCAGGAAGGAAGCTTTAGGGACTCCAGTCTAAATAAAGCGATGTTGAAAGTGGCAAGAATAAACAATTCTAATGGATATGCTAACAGTCATTCCTTATTTACAGACACTAGTTCTCTAATTCTGACCTACTGCTATATACACAGAGAACATGATGTATTTTATGTTCTAAGACAAGAGTAGACAGATGACAGGGGAATTCTAATATTCCAAACTACTAAGGTTCAATGTTAATTGGGGAAGGAAGGAATCTACACACATACCTCCTATTCACTTATGCCACAAATAGAATAGGAAGGCTGCCTGGACAATGTATCTGTTCTCACTGATGTGTTCAAAATAAACAGAAAAAAAAAATTCCTATAACTTAATGCCAATTGGAAAACTCTAAGATTCTACAAAGAACTGTTTCAAAGAAGAGTTCCTTTGATAGAAAAAGAAAAAAAAAAGAACAAACCCTTTGTCCATACACATCTGGACAAACCATGAATACAGATCTGGAGACTGGATTTCTATTCTCCCCCAACAGACTCAGAATTTATAACCTTGGACATGTTATAGCCTTAACTTCTATACACAAGAAAGAAGAAAAGGACGGTCCCTTATCCATTTGGTCCTCAGGTTATAAACTTCAAGAATAACATTGGAGGAAAAAAAAAAAGGTAACAAGGCACTCTAAGCTCTTCAGAATTACATGTTGTTCATACATGAACTGTTTTTCCATCAACAGGCTCAGTCTTTCAGAAAGCCTCCTGAAGACAGGAAGACATTAAATTACCTGATAATTTTTTAAATCAACTTGGACTAATCAAGTCCATCATAATGAAAACTAGTTCATAGACTACAAAAAAAAATTTAAGTCATCAGGACTGAGTTTTGATTCAAAATCTACAAAAGTATAAGCATCTATAAAAGTAATTTCCCCTAAAGAATATCTTAATAAAGTCATGCAATTTTAAAAATATCAGAGATTAAACAAAGTCAAAGAAAGTAAATACATAATTAGCTTCCTTCATCTTTTAAGGAGGACAAGGGACAAAACACACAGACACAAACTACACAATCTGGAGAGCTTCTCTCTAACATTTTTTGCACCCTGACCTATCCTCATGAAGAGGAAACAGCCTGTGAAAAATAGACTTCCACAATGGAGAATGCAACCAGGAACCCAAATAAGAGTACTATGATTGCAAACATGCTATAACACCTACCACAAGACACACTAACATAAGACACACTACTAAACCCAAAAGTTCTTGCTCACAGCACTTCTAGAACATGCTATCCATCCTACAGAAAGATACACTGACCAGCTATCAATGGAAGCGTGCATTCTTTGAGTTTTCTGATTTTGATGGCCAGCTAGCATTGTAACAATAGAAATACTGTCTAAGTCATTATAACAATAAAAATACTGAGGCTGTGTAGGATGCAAGTCTTGATGAAAAAACCCAATCAAGGACACAACATGATCTCAGAATTAAATCTGCCTCCCAAGCCTCTACACATGCTCTAATCCAGAAGGGTGACAGAGCACACAGAATGTGAGATTCTGAATACACCTTTCAACTGGACCCACTTAAGAAAGCATTTCAAATGACAAGAACACAGCTAGAAAATTACAGAATATGAGCAGTATGTTTGGTATCAGTTAATCAAACACTGCCCAGGGGGCTTATTCCCAAGCTATATGAACAAACTGAACTGTCAATACAACCCTTACATCATGTCCTGCCCCAATTAGTCCCATAAATCATGTAACAATATAATTATGACATGTAACTTCACAGATGTGATGGTCATTTCAATACAGTTCACTGAAACTTTAAGGTGGTGGTGGGGGGAGAAATGGAGAAAAAACAAAAAAATGGAAATCAGAATTCTTCCCCCCAACATTTTATATACAAGTGGTACAAAAATACCTACAGGAAACATTCTTTGTCTTGGCAATCGGAATTCAGACTCATGCTAACAAAATGAACCCGGCAAACTACCGTCCTGAAGCAAGTACAACACAAGCACATACACTTTCAGCACATGACTGACTGTACAATGTCTAAGCACTGGCTTTTGTTTTTTAGTAGGGATTACAGAGGCAAGGGGGAAAAAAACTTAGAAATGAGCAAATCATCTACTTCAGCATAAAATCTATCAAGACTTAGCAGTGCAAACAGCATATCTTCTTCACGGTATCTTAACATCTATTCTGCTTAAAGATCTGTGAGAATTAGTCTTTCCTTACTTTGGTATGGAAAATTTAAAACCACATTTGCACAAGTCAGTCTGTTAAACAAGGTTTGCTTCATTTAAATTGAAGATTTACTTTCTTCCATCTCTGGGAAAAATAAAGTCTCGCAAATAGATGATTTTCTGCTAAGTAAAATTTGACTAAAACCTACAGCGTAAACAATGCCTGAGAGATGCAACAGTCACATAATTTTTTTCCAAAGACCAGTATTTTCTTAAGTGTCTCACCGTATCTTAAGTTCATAAGGAGAAATAGACAAACATGAAAATTCCAAGTGAACACACAGCACAAAGTCCAATGTTGAGTATCAGCTTCACTCTGGGGGTCTCCTCTAACATCTGTAAACAAACAGCCTCCTCCTCCATGAGGTCTCTGAGACTCCTCTTGCTGACACTCTTACTCTTAAAGCCACAAAACCAGTCTATGAACTTCCAGTAGCGGCTGCCAGCCTCCATTTCCTTCTTTCTCTCTTTCTCTCCCATGAGAGCTGCTTGCCCGTTGGAGTAAGCATCTACTGGTGTTTCTGCCTCAGAGTGGCCCACGGATGCCACTGGGTTGCCCTCCTCTCGGCAGGTCACCAACAGATTGACGTCTTCTGGCTGAAGGCCTTTGATGCTATCTTCAGACTTCCCATTGGGAATGATGTGGTTTTTGGCCTCACTATTCTCACTGCACTTCAGCATGCTCTTCTCCTGCATTTTGTACAGTTCCTCTCTGGCAGAGCAGCTCTCCTTCACCACCAGGTTCTTCTTGGACCAAAAGGTGGTGGTGCGAATCTGCTCCTTCGTGGGAGGTGGGGTGAGGAGGCTAACAATCACAGTGATGAGTCCTGTGATCCAGAACAATGCTGTGGCCACATACATGTAATGGATGTCTTTGATGAAACTGGGTCTCTCATCAGGCTGGTCACATTCTGGGGCACGGTATGTAAAAGCCAGTATCAAACGGACTGCTCCAAGCAAAAATCCAGCCATTCCTCCGTAGAAAGCCCCTTGCTCATTGCAGCGCTTCCAGAAAATCGCCAGAAGGAACAGGGCTGCCACAGGAGGTGTCAGGTAATCTGCCACTTCCTGGATGTAAAGGTACATCTGGCCTCCTTGCATCTCCACGATGATCGGCACCCATGCTATGCTGATAACCACCATAAAAGCCACAAATATCCTCCCCACAATCATTAGCTCCCGGGAACTTGCACTCTTGCGGATGAGTTTGTACACATCAAGGGTGAATATGGTACTGGCACTGTTAAAGATCGAGTCCAGGTCACTCATCAGAGCTGCAATCATCACCGCCATCATTAAGCCCCGAAGGCCCACAGGAACCAGCTTCATCACCAGGTGTGGGTAAGCGATATTAGAGCATCCGGCTCTGCTTCCACACACCTGCATGCAGTGCTCCGGGTTGATGCAAGCTAGATCATCAGCAAACAGTATCCTGGATATCATTCCTGGGACAACTATGATAAACATTGGCAGAAGCTTCAAAAAGCCAGCCATAAGAGTAGAGCCTTTGGCATGAGCAATGTTTTTGGCAGCTAGGACCCTCTGCACGATGACTTGGTCAGCACACCAATACCACACCGAGGCGGGGGTCTGTCCAAGTATGAATCCAGGCCACGGAACATCTTCATCTGTTGGATTCCTCAACATTTTCAAGGCGTCTTTCTTAGGCTGGACATTACAAGAATTTGTGTTTGAAAGGTTGTATGTCAACAAGATGGATGTGACGTTGGGTGAGGCCAACATGTACCTTCTCTTAACTTCCTCAAACCCGCCAACCTCCATCATGCTTATAACCATAAGTGTGAGTGCCCCAACAATCATGAGCAGGGCCTGTAAGGTGTCTGTGTAGATCACTGCAACAAGGCCTCCGGTGACAGTCAGTAAGGCAGTCATGCCAATGAGCAGGATGACAGACACATAAAGGTTCCAACCCAAAGACTCCTGGATAAAGAGGGCGCCTGAATACAGATCCACTGAGAGCTTGGTGAAGATATAGAGAATCAGAGACAAGGCTGCAAAGTAGACCTGAATCCTATGGCCACCGAATCGCTTGGACAAGTATTCTGGCATGGTGTATACCCCCGACCGGATGTAAATTGGGATGAAAACCCATCCCAAAAGTTGCAAAAGCAGTAAGGCATTGAACTCCCAAGCACCCACTGCGAATCCGCTTGCCGCTCCAGATCCTGCCAGCCCAATGAAGTGCTCACTCCCAATATTGCTCACAAACAGAGAGGCACCAATGGCTACCCATGTCATAGAGCGCCCCGCCAGGAAGTATCCACTTACGGTGCTTCTATTAGATTTCCACATGGCAAAAAACCCAATGCACATGACCAGAATAAAATACAGGGCCACTATGGCAATGTCTGCTGTCTCCAGTACAGCCCTCATTCTGGGAACTTGTGAGTAAGAATCCAATGACAGAAGTGTCCGACTTTTTATTTACTTATTAGTAACCCCAGCCAAGTCTGTGAACTGGACTACACAGAACAATACAGCAGGTCAAAGTCTTTGTCCTTTGGTTTGCTGTCTCGATGGTGGTGGTTGTGATAAACTTGGAAGGAGACAGTTTAAATTTTCCTCCGCTTCTTAATTGGGATTGAGAACTTAGCTCGTACTCTTAATCCACTCTCCACAAGACCATCAGCATTTACTCAGGTGCTGGAGGAGAAATTCTGAGTTGCAGCTAAGTCTAGTGAAGCCTATTGTACCAACCCTGCAAGGCAGCAAAGACAAAAGACAAAGATTGAATTAGAGAAGGGTCTCACCAAGCGATGAGGAAACTTTCAGTCTAGCAAACACGGCGCAAAAGACATTCTTTATAAAAGGGGAGGGGGAGTTCAAAATATACTTCAGTTCCACAAAAAAGGCCACTCTATAAGATTGCAGCTGACACATCAATGAAAACATTTACATTTCAAACAAAGAACAAAATTTGTCACCCTGAGTGGCCCTAACTTCTCCAGTAAATAACTGTTATCATGACATTGTCCTCTCCTGTTAGCCTGGAACAGGCATCAAGATCTTAAAGCACCTCGACGAGTGGGGGTGGGGGGGCGGGGACTGAGGACACCAGCCATTCATAACACAGGCAGGCACACAAATGAATCTTCAAATAGCATGAGCTTCAACACTATCTGAGGCTCACTTCATTACCAGTAACGGTTCTGATAAAAAATCAGGTGTTGTGTACTTCCTGTCACCTACTCCCAGGGAATTTAACACAGAAAATCAAACATTACTCAGTCTATACAAATCTACTTGCATAGAACTCTCCTCATTGTACATGCATAGTCATCATACAGTGATCCAGAACTCATGAGATAACCCTTGCCCTCATGGGAAACCAGACACTCAACACACAAGAAACTAGGACATACAAATTAAAAAACAATGTAAAACTGAGTTTGTTATCCTAGTAATAAGGAATTCAGAACCTAAAAAGAAAACCTTTAAAAGGGGTAAAAATCCTTCCTTTCCTTTTCATCAGGCAGTATTTCCAAGATATCCTGTGAGAATATAAAGGCACTGACTCAAGGTTTGATTTTTCTTCTTAAAATTTTTACATTTAAGGATACAGAAAACAGGGACAAGAGAAAATGTTTTCTTCAAGAGTGAAAAATAATATTATACCTTCCAAACCTCAACAAAACAGTTTCAACCACTGGGTAATAAATCATCTTCATTTATGCAATTCTCAGTCCTGGATTAAGACAACCACTCTGCAAAATAGACACTTAAATTTACCTAAAACAAAGTTTATGAATTTGATGGGCTTTCTCCTGGAAAAGAGAAATTCTGATCTTCAAAGTTAATTATAATTGTAGCTGATAGATCAACATGAAATATAATTATTACTCAACCTAACACATTGACATCTAGCTGATTTCTCGTCAGTACAAACATCATCTTCCAGTGAAATGTCTGTCCATGCTTGAAAAAGCAGCTGTGTTCTGGTGAAGTCAAGCGTTGTCCTTTGAAACTCAACAGTGAACTACAGATGATACTAATGTCAACTCATTTCAAGATTGTTCCAAACAGGCCATAGTACTTAAAAACACATTTTACTGGCAAGGAAAAAAAAGAGCTAGACATAATGCTTAAAGATTTACATTCTAGCAAATTGGGTTACTAGGTCTAATTCATAAAGCTGCCCAGATTAAAAAATAAAGTCAATTATATTTTCCTGCCTTTTAAAATATGAAACACTACAGTGACTATGTTACGAAAACAGATTAAAGTCCTTCCTGCTAGTGTCATATGCTGAAAGCTGGAAATTTGTATCACTTCAGACCAACCAAATTCTGAAGCTGGTCAATCTTTATCTTCCCTATCCCCCCAAAACATGTAAGGTTTTAAGGAAATACATTGACATATTTAAGAACCACCACAATTTTTCATAAAATCCATCCAAATGACAAACCTAAGTTATTAAAAGGGTACTTTCAAAGACAAGTCCCCCATTTCAATGGATATTGCTGCAGTTACAAAATCCTGCATTCATCAGGGTTTGTCCTGCTATCCAAAACCCAGCCCATACCTTCATAAATATTCCAACTTATCCATCCAAGTCAGCCTAGCTCTCTGCTCACAGGACCCTTCTTCCAGGTGTGGCCCTTCCCAGGGCAGTAGTTGAACATGTTTCCACAACAGAGACACACCTGAACAGTTCTGTTTCTGTCTGGAGAGGGGTTAGATGCGGGTTGTGCACTAGTGGCAGCCCCAGCATTTCTTCAGAGAACCAAGTGCTGCCAATATCAGTTAACTGTCTCTCAATGTCAGAACCGAAAACAGGTGTCCTGTGATATGTAGTATTACATTGTTAATTAACCCCATAATGCTGGAAACTGTTGTTGATGTTATGTTATGGCATTTAATTGGTTGGAACAACAATCTGCCAGCTATGTCTCCAGACCAGAGTTAGTCTCCACAAGAAACTGTTGAATTCAGCTGGGCAACAAGATACTGGACTCTATGCAAAGCACATGCTTGCATTGAAAGAAATGACTAGATTTGATCTGTAATACTGCAATAAGGTGGAGCAATCCACCACGGGGGGGAGGGCAAGAGGAGGGGAAGGGGGAACATCAGAGCCTATGAAACGTTGTTATAAAATTAAATGCAATTTAGAAAAAAAAAAAAAAGAAAGAAAACAGGTGTCATCTTTCATGCTCTCTGCTGACTGCTCAGAAGGGTCGGGATTCCCACTCAAGGCCTGGCTCCCAGTTGTTCCTCCCGCAGCAGAGGCCGCAGGGGACGGCTACGCACTGGTTGGACTGGAGTTCTGGACTCTCCACTTTCTGTGTATGCCTCCTCAGAGCATTCAAAAATCATGCTGACAGCGCTCTTCTCACTGGATTCTGCTACCAGCCAGTGAGTCAGTTTGTACATGTTTTCCAACTTTAAGATTTTCAACAAAATACATTGAGAGGCCAGCACCTGGCAAAGGTGGGAAAGGAAAAAAAAAAACCAAAAACCCAGAGTGGGTCCGTTTTGTTTGTAGAAAGACATAAAACACTGTAACACAATGCAGCTCAGCATCAGAGACCATCACAGTCTTGAACCGCAACCTTTCAGAAATACGAACTGTACACACCTTAACAAGGGCTCCAAATAAAATGTACAGGACAAGTTTTTATTTCTTTGTTTTTAAAGAAACAATTTCTCAACAAAAATACAATGAACATTCTCCAGATTTCCTTTACTTGTTGGAGGAGGAATGAATACATATGAAAGAATCTTATTCTCAGCTAACATGATTTGTTTAAAGAGACAAAGAAGCCTCCCATTCCCCAGTTCACTCTACAAATATGCCCGGACCAGCTGAAGTCAGAAACTAGAAACTCCACCCAGGTCTCCTAGAACAGAGGTGGCAGGGACCCTCTGAGCCATAATCCACTACTGCACATCCCTTACGGCATGCATCCGTGCAAGCCGGAGTCAGCAGCAAAGTTGCATGCTGGTACACCTGACCCAAGCAGTGCCCGGTCACAGCTATTCCCCATGTCTGTCACAGGGCCTGTGAAGCACTTCACTCATCTATATGTACGTACACCTTTTTCACAATCAGATCGGTCTTTGAACTGAGGCATGTGGGACAAGCAACAAGACAGGTATGGTTTGGGGAAACCTAGGAACAGTTCTTTGGCAATGATTTTTCATTCCCTAAAGGCAACAGCCAAGTTTAGCCAAACCTCTGACACAAAGATGTTCTGAAATACAGCAAATTCCCTCAATTGAGGGTCTCCTTTTCAGGAATTTGTACTGCTGAGTTTTCCAAAGATTCAGAACACAAATCTGGTACTACTTCACGTGCTGGGATGCATCACACCACAAACGAAGCATCTAATGCATTTAACCAACCCGAATGAGAAAGACCAAATTAGCTGGGACATTCCTACAGGCAGGGCCAAATATGTTAACCAAAACATAATTAGCTACAATGACCAAACCTCTCTTCTACTCTCTACAGGAACCATGGTAACTTGTCTTTCAGGACGTATGGTCACTCTAGCTGAAAAAAGGGGAAGCCCCTTACATAAAAACCCTAAAGAGAAAAAGGACACTCAGACATCCCAGTTATCACAAATTCAACCACAAAAGTAGACTCAAAGACAGAAGACGGTGACCTCAAGAGTAACTAAAATAACAGATAAAAGCTCCCATCACCAGACTTCATGACTCTCTAAAAAGGAAGGTGAGTGCAGGAACCACACAGACATGTGGGCAGCCAAGAATAGCAACCAGCAGCCAAGCTTTGCAAACTCAGCCATCACACAGCTTCACCTCTGCAAGCCTCATCACCCACCCCTCACCAGCTTCATTGTTGGGTGACATACAGATGCTCCTAATACTGCCCAGGGCAATAGGCAGGTGGTTCCCTAAATATCAGTTCATTCTGCACAACCTGAAATGAATTTCTTTCAACTTAAACTGCCAACTACATCCCAGACATTTTAGGATACTCACAGAAGTTATTCATTTAGGAACAAACTAGACAAAATAAACATGCAGTTATGTCACAAATGTTCTCAAGAGGCTCTTGAGGATCCATTAACTATTAGCTCCCACTTCCATCACAACATTTTTTTTAAAAAGCATGACGTCTATATAAAATTCTTAGTGCTTTTACATACCTTCACTGTCAATATGGAGTGCAAGTCCACTAGAGAGAATTCCACATACATCAAAGATAAATGATGCTTGGTGCAGTGCAAAGTGTGTAGATACTTACACAGGACCAACCACAACCCTCACTCACTTTAAAAATCTGGAGTACACCAGGTAAGACATAAGCAAACCAGATATTCTAATACAATGTGTGTGACCTCCAACCAACCAACCCATCCTCTAAGTAACTGTATGATTGAACAATCCCTAGAACATGTAGAGAACGTCCCTATTATACATTATATATAATGTATTTACATTTTCTCTTTTAAGTATACAAAACCCAGACTGAAGTGAAATTGTGTTCAAACTGTACTGCCAGGACTTCTAGTTTCTTGTGTGTCATCAGGGTTGGAAGGCAAGGCTGAGTGGAGTCAGGGATTTCAAGTCCCCCTCCCTAAGCCTCTCTGCCAATCAGAGCAGCTCCACTTCGACCCATTTTTCCCATGAGGGGTAGAAGAGGAAGGATGGTTCCCACAGACCATTTCTTCAAGCAAAATCCTTAATCCCTGGGGCCAGCATGGTAGCGCAACACACTGCAGTACGTCAAGTCACTGCTAGCAACGCTGGCATCGCATGTCAGAACACTGTTGAGTCTTGCCTACTGTTGCTAATCCAGCTCCCTGCTAACACCCCTGCGAAGTGGGGAAGCTAGATGGAGTTCTGAATTCCCATCTTTGGCCTGGCCCAGCCCAGGCTGTTGTGGCCATTTGACGAGTGAACTGGAAGACAAGAGATACCCCTCTCTCCTTCACTTCTTGTCCCCGTCTTTCAGAAACATCTTTACAAAGTTTTTTAAAATACCTTATTCACCAGAATAGTTAACTACTAAGTTTACCATTTCATCCATAAACACCTCCTCCAAGCTACATTCATTTTAACCTTTCAATATAAAAGCATGTCTCAACCAACGGACTTAAAAACTCAGAGATGTAAGACCTTTTGAATATGGGGGAACAAACATGAAAACACCACTAGGTTCAAGTTGTTGTGAATCCTAGACTGTTATTGAAGGAGTCAGTGTCAGGATGTGTCCATGAGGCCTCCGCATGTGATGTCAACACTTGCAATCCAGCTCCCTACCAACAGCCTGGGAAAGCAGCCAAAGGTGCTCCAGCATGAGACCTGATGCCTAACACCTGAGGGAACCCCCGCCTCCTGGGCTTGGTCTGTTGGGGCCACGGAAGAATCCCTCTCTGTCCCTCCTTCTGTAATTCTGCCTTTCAGATGAAAAATCTTTCTCTGGCTCTCCTTCTCTTTGTAAATCTGACTTCCCAATAAGAATAAATAAATATATATTTTTTAAAATTTGTATTCAGAGAAAATACTCAAGATGGATATTAGCAAATGTTAGCAACTTAGACAGCAAACAGCACATGCAATAAAAACTCTGTTGCAATACTGACAACTACGTCAATGAGTAGGTGCCATGAGGAAAACGAAGAGTTGAAAAGCCAAAAGAAGCTCCAAGGATGGGTTTCCTATGAGTACATAAACAGAGCAGAAAGATCTAAATGAGTCAGCTGTAAGATCAGCATTTCTGAAGGTCCTCACCATTAATTTTTGCCTTTATTCTATTCAGTGTTAATTAGTACTTCCACTAGAGAATTAAAAAGAAGTTAACACTCAAGGTCTGTTCTACACCTGACCTAGTTACCACAGGTTGTATGAAGCTATCCAACCCAAACTGTGCCTGCTAAGCCCCACGACTTGAAAACGCCAAGTCAGAACAACTAAGTGTATTTCCCACAGATCCAATGGTTGCTAGATCACTCATGGACCACTGATACTGAATTAAGTGTTGGTGACCACCTAGCATTTTGTTTGGAAGTATGAATAATCTCGCTGGCTGTCCCAAATCAGTGACCCTTCCCTTCTCAAGGAAATGGCAACTCAATCTTCACTATTGTTCAAACCAAAGTCTTCCTTGACTGCTTGCTTTCTGTCTAAGCCAGACATTGTCAATCTATAAACAGAGATTGTTGCTGCTTTGCTTGGAACATATCCAGTCCAAATCATCACCCCACCTTGTTAACTGTCCTGGCCTCTAAACTTGTCTCTATGCTGTAGGCCAACAACAGGGCATTATTAATGCAGCAAACAGTTGCGCCATTAATCACGATGTACCAAACAAGTCCCCAGGCCTCCAACTGCTCTATCCAGGCAACACCCTGCACTCAGTTTTTCATAGACTTACTTTCTTTTCCTGTTGTATCCACGTCAACTCTACCCTGCTTTATTTTCCACAGCACTCAGCACCTAACAAACTCTAAAACTTTTTTGCTCTTTCTCCGGACATGAGCTCCTTGAGGAGAGTTCCTGTCTGTATTCTTACCTGATGTGCCCTATGTCCAGACACAATTTTTGCAAGTACTCAAATGTTTGCCAAATAAAAGAATGAAATATTAATAACTAAATGCCTTATTATGATTGTCAAACTTAATAGCCTATACAATCATGAATAGCTGTTTAAGAACAGTATATTAGAATGGCTGAGAGACGGTAAAATCGGCAGCACTTCAGAACTATCCAAGCACCTCGGAATATGCACACATGAGACTCTGGGTTGCCATGAGGTGGCTCCTCACCCCTGGGTACTGGACATGTGGAAAGTCGTGAGTGGTTTCCCCCCTTTGCCTCTCCCCTTCACCCATGAACAACAAGAAGAAATTGCAAATTTGGAAGCAATGAGTTCACCTAATTT